GCAGTATAACCGCTAGCATGGGGTCTATAGGTCTTTAACGTGCACCACGCAGTAGTGATACACAACCGCAGGGCGGTACGATGCTCATCCACATCGAAACGGGCAGGGGTGGGGATTGAACCCAGGTTCCCTGGTTGATTAGTACAAAAGGTAAACATCGCAGAAGCTTCCTCGCTAAAAGTTTGTGATCATGCGGTTACCTGGGGCAAAAACAAATTCCGCAAGGCCCAACATGCGACGCATAGATTTCGCATCGATTCTCAGACACTCCAACGTTCAAATAAAGCTAAGAGAATGCGAAAATTGCATGCTAAATGTCTTATCGATCCTCAAACACATCCGAAAACCCGAGCACCGCTAAGGCGATATTACTGACGCTGTCGCACAGGTGCTAATATCCAGAGCGATCTTGCCAAGAAAGGGTATAAAGTATCATTCTTTCATATCTTCACGTTATACCTACGTCAGAAAGCACGAAGAAGCCCTAAATCGTCGGCAAGCTGCGGCACATCACGACTCTGCGTACCGAACAAAGTCGCATCCACCAGCCCTGGGCGCTGCCATCTTACCGATGACATCACGGTTTTTGAGAGGTCACGTGACGAGTCGTCACTCGGTTGCTACTAGGGATGCCGCGAACTTTTTTCGAATCGAAGTTTCGATGATCGAATCAAGCGGTTCAAAAGGTTCGAAAGATTTCGATTTTTCGAATTGTCTATATCGTAAAATTCGACGGAGGTCGAATTTTCGAACTTGTTAAGCTAAGAAGTTCGACGCTTTTCGAACCGTCGAACTTATTAAGCCAGAAAATTCGATATTGTTCGAACTTTCGAACTTTTTGCGCTCCAAGGTCGATGCTTGTCGAACTTTCGAACTTGACTGACCAAACAATTCGATGAATATCGAACTTTCGAACTTATTTATCAAGATAATTCGAAAAGTTCCGAACTTTCGAATTCTGAAAAGTCAGAATTTCGACGAACTTCGAACTTTTAGGGTAAACGTTCGACGTTCGTCGAACTTGGAAAGACCGGCGGACCGTTTCATTTAATTTCAAGCAGTGGGGTACATTCGTAATTTTTTTTCTCGAACTTTTACACGCGGTGCTGCGTTCCTTACGAAAGACAATGTCGTTTATTTCAATGTTCTGGCATGCTTAGGTTTAAAGAAATAAATCCCCGAAGGGGCGAGGAAGGACGACGGGTTTTTGACGATTATCGTTTGTGCCAGATTTGAAGCACGCTGCAGCCGGAACTATTTATGGTAGATATGTTATACTTTTTTAAGAATGATCTATGTATAGCCTAGGTAAGTACCGTCTTAAGATGTGATTATTGTTATTCAACGTGAGTTTCGAAGAAATGTCAAACATGTATCTGTATGCAATTATGACCTAAACTTTATATTTATTTTCGTCTAAGTTGTTTGAGGTATCGCATTCAAATTAACACCACAGACAGTACATATCATTGCCATCTGCACAATACAAAATAATATATTTATTGTTTTTTTTTACGTTAAGGAATAAATTAACTCATGGGAGAAGATTTCTAATAGTGTTCAAGTTCAGCACGTCATTAAAAGAAAACTTTTTTTTTTTCGCTTCACGTTTTTGGGACGTGTTTCTTGTAGCCTGTACACATTTTGGTAAAAGAAACTTGTTTCGAAGTTCTGAACCTTTGAATATGCAAGAATAGAACACTTCCGACGAATTCTTGATAGTTTTTTTTTTCTCCTGCTTTTTACTCCCGCATTTATTCTTTTTTTTTTTTTTTTTTTTTTTTGCTATCGGCACAGGTTTTTAGGTCGAAAAGACAGCTTTGAACTTCCGAACCACTAAGCATGTGACGAGTAGTGCCTTCTGACAACGAGTTTCTAACAGTTACCATCTACGCAACCTTTTATGCAGTGAAGAGCGACAGTAGCTATGCATAAATAATTTCAGATCAAAATAAGCTCGACCGCGCCCTCTTTCCCCGTATTGTTTTCTTTAACAGTCTGAAATACCAGCAAGGAGGAGAAGGAAGCTGAAGCCCCCCCCCCCCCCCTCCCGCCGCTACCCTCTTTCCCCCCGTTTTTCCTCTTCCGACGCCACTTGTATGGTAGAACGCTCCTCGACCTCGAGTTGTGTCGGCTGTTTTGCTTTTTGCGAGGCGATTCCTCCGTCCCAGAAAATAAACCTCCAGGACAATTATAAACTTCACCGGATCGGATTATTACCAGCGTGCAAGGGGTGGCGAGGTAGTTTGCCAGGTCTCTTCAAGGTTTTTCTGAGCCTCAACCTCCTGCTCGCCCCTGACCGTTTCGAACTGGATGAGTCTCGTAAAACAGTGTGTTCGTGTAATCACTACTGCGTGATGCAGATTAAAGACCCCCCCCCCCCCCGGGGGCTGGCGGTCACAATTCTGCACTGGCAAATATTCTAGCACGTCCGGGACACTCGTCGTCTCATTTAATTGCCTGACCAACTTCGCAGAATCTAGATATCACACCCTAACTTTTCTAAACTTGATTTTGTAAAAACCAGTGAGTCGTGAAAACGTTATTTGAAACTGAAACTGGTGGAAAATCTTGGAAATCGGACTTCGAACTTTGAAAACTTAAATTAGAAAGAAATTCAAAATCTTCAAAGTTTATTTTTTTTTTTTTTTTTTTTTTAATTTAGCGTTAAAAGAGAATCGAAACCTTCGAACTTTTCGAACTTTATGCAGAAAGAAATTCGAAATCTTCGATGTGTTCGAACTTCAAGTCTATAAAAATTCGAAGCGTTCGAAGTTTTCGAATTTTTTTCCCAAAGAATTTCGAAATCTTCGAATTTATCGAACCTGAAGGAAAAAAATATTCGAAATATTCGAATTCGAAATTTTAGAAACCGTGAAAGCTTCGAAATTTTCGAATTCGAAACTCTGCTGTGGTCAAAAGTTGCGAATTTTTCGAATTCGAACCTTGGTCGGTACGAAAATATCGAAATTTTTCGAAATCGAACCTCAGTTCGCTTCGCAAATATCGAAACCTTTCGAAATCGAACCTACGGTGGTTCGCGACATCCCTAGTTGCTACGGGAACCGAGCCAGCTCAGCTCGTTGTTATGGTACCGCGTGTGACCAATCGCGGTGAGAGGCGGCACAGGGAAAAGCGTGGCGCTACTCTGGCAGCTACGCTGCCATATCGAGTGGCTCTAGCTGGGACCAAGAAGATCCGCCGTGCCTCGTCTAGTGATGATGATTATGAGCTAAGAAATGCGTAGCCTTTTACGTTCATGCCGCTTGCGTCATGAGCTTCGGCTTTCATATCGCGGAGAGATAACAAGATGCTCGGCGTTTTTGAAGCCGTCAGTGACGGCGAGGAGGTCGAACTATGGAGAACGCTCCGTCCAGCTCGTTTTCCCGAAGTTCCGTGTTTAGCAACACTAGGCAGGTGCAATGGATTTTTTACTTCATCTTTTTCGATCAAGCGCGGCGCAAAGATGGGGCACGACTCTGGTCCAATTTCCTGCAGCGTCCGCGTTCGGCTACCCCGATTGAACACGAGTCCCATCTGAACGGTCGCGCAACGTTCGGTTCGGCGACGTGGGTCGGGCGCTGCGTCCAAACACAAATGAAAAATGTTCATAGGGTCCCTTATGTTCCCCCTAAAGGCTGAACTCCATGGAACGAATTATGTGACTAATAACTGGTGAACGCCACCCGACGGCACGCTCGCTTTGCGCGCGACGTAGCAGCCACTGTGTTGATTCCACGCGCAGAGCAAAAGCCGCCGGACAAAATTCGTCGGTTATTCGCAGCATATCCGTCCCATGGAGTTCAGCCTTAAGACGACTGGAAGGCGAAAGGCCAAGCGCCGATGCGTTAGACAGACACCACTCTTAATGTGTCGAGTCATTCTTCTTACTGTGCTGAGTGATCCCTCGCAATGTGCTGAGTTATCCTTCTCAACGGGCTGAGTCAGTCTTCTCAATGTGCTGAGTCAGCCTTCTCAATGTGCTGTGTCATCATCCTAATTCACTTAGTCATCCAAATAATTCGCTTAGTCATCGAACTATTTCGCTTAGTCATCCACTTAATTCGCTTTAGATTATCCTAATTCAGTTTAATTCCTCTTAATTACCCTTAATTCTTCTTAATTTAGCTTTGTTGTCCTTCTTAATTAGCTTTGATTACTCTTTTCTTCTTCATTTGCTCTGTCATCTTTTTTAATTCTATCGCCTCTCATTCAATTCGCCGGAGTGGTCACGTAAATGTTTTGGTGCCTTTTGTTTCGCCGACGTCTTTTCGATCAAGGACTTCGAAGGTCAACCGAACGATGAGGCATATAAGGCTTTCGCCTTAATAATTTATGTTATTACGGTTAGAATTTGGCTCTGTCAGGCAACAGAAATCGAAAATGTACAAAAGCGGTTCATAAGAATTGTGTTTGACCGCTATATTGGAATGAGGTCTTTTTATTATTATAGAAGGCTACTTCACCGGTTTGCATTATATAAACTTGCCGTGAGGAGGCAGTCGAGAGATTTCGTTTTTCTTCATAAAGTTGTTCATAATCACGTCAGGTCAATGGGTTTACCACGATTCATTGACTTCCATGTTCCATAAGAGCCAGCCGGAATGTATTAACGTTTTATCTATCTTGCTTGTCCCCTGTATTCCCTTTTTCACGGATTCAATTGCCCGTCAATAAGGAACATGACCTGGATATTTTCATCTGTCTTCGGGAATTTACCTTGCTTGTTCGTGAATGGATGTCTCTCGCCTAGAATAAGATTTTTTTTGTGGTATTTCTATTGAGTATTTTAGTTTTTGCTGTATTGACATTTTAGTATTTTGCGCACCACAGTGGAGACTGAAAAGTTGTTTGTTGGCACAGAAAACAAAAAAATATTATTATTATTATTATTATTATATTATTATTATGTTGTCCCCACTGGCGCAGTTCTCAGTTTAGCCACTAGGGGATGGTTTTGATCTCCTTCCCACGAGCGTGTGGCGTTCTTGGCGTCTCACCGATAGTGTAGCGGGCCTTGAATCCTCGTCCAGCCGAGAAGCCGGAGGCCTTCATGCGGATCCTGATCCTGTTGCCCGCACTCGTCACGTTGGCCGGCAGCGAGGACCCGCAGTGGCGCAGCAGCTCCGGCTGAGCGTCTCGCACATCGTCGTACACCTGCGCAGCAGCAGCAGCAGCCTTGGAGCAGTAGGAAGACAAGGCCTGCGCAAGGCGTCATCGCCAGTGGATCCCCAACTCGCCCCACGACACGCCGAAGCTCGGCGGGAGACGCCGCAAAGCGGCAGACGCGTTCGTCTCGGTGTCGTCGCCAAGTCGTTTTCTTGGCTTACGATGCTCACGCAAGCTAGGGGGCGGTCCATAGGTCCACTAGCGATGACGTTTGAGGGGTGGAGCCGCAGGCCTCGTTTTCAATAGCCGGTGATAAATAAGGGCTTAGGGAAAGCTCCCCTTTCCACTTTAGCAGAGCGAACGGCTGAGTGGAGCTCGCATCTCCAGCGTTCTCTCTGCTAAAGTCGAAAGAGTTGAGAGGTTTGTAGCCACCAGTAGCGTACTACACCGGGGCAGCGAGTCAACGTACGGCCAGGTAGCTCTCGGAGCAGTTGACGCTTTGCGGCATGTCGAAGTCGAGCACTTGCAGGTTGATCACGTGGCCGGGGGCCACAGTGACCCTCCAGTTGCAGTCGTCCTGGGCGTCGTAGTTGGACGGGTAGCCCGGGGACATGAGCAGGGCCGACGTCGTGCTGAACACGCCTCCGCAGGCTGCATGCAGAGAAGGCGACTCGAGATGCGAGCTCATGCAATCGCCTGGTTTTAGACACTCTGTCAAGTGCAATACGTAGCGATAGCACTTGATGGGGATTTAATCAGCGGCATTTCGAAAAAAAGCCTCTGCCTCCACTAAATTCAGAATATGAAGTGCCAAAAAAAAAAAAAAAGAACGACAGGACAAAGAGAAAAGCTCCTAGACTGTTTTTTTTTTTTTTTTTTTTTTTTAATACGCCGTTCCAGCCCTGCTACGTAACCTCCGTTCCTAGGCAGTGGAGAGGCTGTGTATTCGAGCACTGCCTCCCCCCCCCCCCTCCCCCCCCCCCCTCTGCGCAGCGCAACGCCGTTGGTCGCGTGTGTTATGACGTGAGCAGCTGCTCTTCGTTGCCGACCCTCTTTGCCATTGCCTGGCTACGGTGCGACCAAGACCAAAACTAGTAAGCAATACCAGTCTAGGGTTCCCATATATAAAGGTCTCACTTTAAAAATTGGGTAGACCAACTTGAACACTTCTCCCAAGTTAATTGAAAGCCACTGCGTACGTCTCGTTAACAACGAATGGAACAACAAAATATTTGCGCGGCTAAAAACCTCGATCGCTGGTACATAAAAGAAAAATACGCGAGAAAGAGAGTAATAAATACTGCGGTGGAAGATGAAAATTGCAAATAGGTCAAGTTCAATAGATCGAGTTCACCAACCTGCTTGGGTATGACACCGCTGTCGTAGATGCACCGAAGGAACTCTAGTATTTTTGCACGTGTCACAACCTCGCTGGAGCTCTGCGCGTGTCGTGCACGAGACTTCTCGAGCACTGCCGCCTGCCTAACATGAGCTAAAATTATGGCTGATTCACGCATGCGCCGAACGCTTGGTGCGATCGGTCTATTTTTGTCGGGCTATGCACCCCGAAACGAATGAGTGGAGTTTTCAGCGGGATGGCTCGAAGGAATAAAGGAGACATTATGCCTCACAGTTCAGTGGTGTTTAACTTGCTGTCCGCAATACTGAAGACAATATTAAGAGTTCGGAGAAAACTTGAAGGCAAACGCTTAAAGGCCGATTCACACACTTGCATTGAGTCCGATTGAGTGCGAGGGTTGCTATGGTAACAGCTGCGTCGACACTAACAAAACCGGTTTTTACCCCGTTTTGTTGGAGCAGACGCACCTGTAACCTTAGCAACACGCGCAGTTGGTCAGACTCAACGCAAGTGTGTGAGTGGAAATAATTTTATTATTTCCACTCACACATTATAAATAATTAAGTGGATATTTTGGAGTGGAAATAATTTTCTCGTAGGATATAATTTTTTACGAACATTTCAAGGCTGCCTTTAAGAAAAAGGCTAATGCGCAGAATCTAGTCATAAACTACGATGACATTTAAATAGAAATGGGCGAATAGAAGGGTGTGTCTAAGATGCTTATGCTGTTCCCAATTCAATATACTGACTTAAGATGACATATAAGTATATTTCTTTCCAAGTCCAAACCACGCCACAAAAATGCCATATCCGGAATTAAATTGCTTACTGAGCCATTGATGCCCGTTCGTCTCCTCGGCTTGCATAAAGTTCAAGGCCTCGGAAGTGGAAGATGGCGGGAGCATATTTTTAACATTCGCTCGCTTCCTTAGGTAAACTGCATAAAGAGTCATTCTGTTTGCCGCAATACGAAATATTGAGACGTGTTGTGAAGTGATACAATGCGTCTTGCAACGTCCGACTTCCTAAGCGCAGCCACGGCTTACATCCACAGTAAAAGAAATCGAAATTTCACCGGTGTTCAGAACAAGCTTGACCGTGAATGCGTGTGTTGACGCATAAACTACGCTCAACTGAGAAAGGCAGCCGATGTTTCAGAGGAACGACCTTCTCACGGATTGTCCAAACAGTGCACAACAAATGCTTAAAAGAAAAAAAAAAAAGAAAAAGAAAGGCGCGCACGCTTTTCACTTAGAACGTGAACCTTGCGGCAAGCACGTACGTTTTTGTTGAGGACATCAACCACCTCGTTTCCTCCACCCTTCCTTTTCTTGTTTTCGGAGGAATATGGAGCCACAACAACAGCGGTCGCCTTGCCGACAGCCTGTAGAGCGTTTGATTGGCATTCCGTACCCACATGATGAGCACGCTCTAAACCCCTGTTCAACGATGAAAGCGTGCAATACATCTACACCCCCCCCCCCCCCTTCCTTCCCGGCCAAAAAAGAGAAAACGCTCTAGAACCAAAAAAGAAAAACAACATAATTTCCTAAAAAAAACATAGTGTGAACTGCTTCAAACATTTTTTTAATCCTTTGCATAAAACGTGTCCCGTTTTCGGACACATTTCTTCGTGTTTTTACAGCGGAGTTGTTAAGGGTTAGTTTACCTAGAATCGTGCCCGCCAGCAAACAAATGTCGACACAACACTCTAGACAGCTACCGCCATCTATGAGCAATGGCGGCAACCTTTCCAGCCTTTTCACTCTGGCTTGCCGACTTGCGGCCGGCCATTACTTCATTCCCACCTTAGGACAGCTCCGCTGGTCTTCCTTCTTCACCATGGAGTGGAAAGGCTGAATTTTTTTGTTTGCATAAAACGTGTCCCCTTTCGGACAGCCCCGCGGTAGTATTAAGGGCAATGTGCTGTGTTGTCGACCGCAAGTAAAATATTTAGCTGCTATCCGAGTGAGCAATGACTCCTGTACATACATCGGTAATATTTTTAGTAACGGATGCAGTAGGTACGAAAAAGGTTAGCAAAAGTGATTGACGGCCGGAACGGTAAAATCAAGGCACGCGGAGCCTTGATTTTAGGTCGACGAGAGTACACCGAGAGCGAGGATGGTTTTGGCCCTTCCCTCCTTTCTGTTTCGGGGGTTGCCTCAATAAATATTCATCGTTGGAGAAAAAAAAGATTGTTTTACTCAATCGATACTGTGAGTTTTGATATTTGCCAGTTCAGCTTCTTAAAAATAATTCCATTTTAATTATTGAAAGATTAATGCTACAAGGACTTTATTATCAAAAACCCTGCGTACCTCTAACATTCTCCTCATTGCAAATTTATGAGATGCGAAGTCGCCCTTAACGAATCTATGAGATGTGCATTAATACACCGAAATTTATTTCCTTAAAATCATACCATCGTAAAAAAAAAGAAAAAAAAAGGTTTACCCGATGCTTGATGAAACACTCTGCATACGTATTTGCTTTTGCAGTTTCTTGTTTTTCTTTTCAATATTATTTTTGCTTTTCTTGGTTTAATATAGCTACATTTTTCACTGCATAATGATTTAACGGAAGATTCAGAGTTCTAATAAATAAATCACCGTTAGTTTCGATGAGGTGCCAACGTGCTTTGTGTCGTCTACGTGCTCAGTAGTCAAGCAGAGATTAGGTGAGAAGGTCGCGGGACGTAGAGACCCCAATTCTTTAACAATCACGGCGCCCACCCTATTGAAAAACGTAATGCACTCCCACTACCAGTATAGTATAAACTTATGTGAAAGAAGCTATAATATATATATATATATATATATATATCAGTGTAGAACGCATAGGTAATTTTATGCTTGACCATGGCTGTCTACCATACTTTCCCTGTTAGATATCATATGAATGACATTGTTTTCTTCTACCTATCTTCATTCATATATTTATTAGGGATTTTTAAATTAATACCACGTGGTGCACAGCAACCGCCGATACACCGAACGTGATAATTCGTTTGCAAGATATGGGCGTACTTTATGAAGCACCTAAACTTGTAAAGTCTGCAAAATAAAATTGTTAAATTTTAAAAACAAAACTCTCCCATGGGTCTTGTTTATGATATAATGAATAGGCAGTATATTTTCCAGTGCATTTTTATAATAAATATCGTCGAACATTATTCGGTGTTTATTTTTTTTTATAATGCTGTAATTTGGCGACCTGTTTCGGGCGAACACAAATAAAAAACAATGACTACCGATGGAAGAACTCATGCAAGACAAAACTTTAAAGTCTAAGAAGGAAACGATTTGACAAAAACAGTCCGAGCTTAAGCAAACATTCCTCAGAATCGGTATTTTTATGTTCCAACCGATTTTATTTTTGGTATGAATAAATGTTGATTTTTTTTTAAATCTTTAACCGACGATGCATTTTTAAAATGTCGATAGGTCCTTTTTCAGGCTAAAGGCCGACGTACACACTTTCCACTGTTTCTCACTCCCCTCCTTTTCCATATCCTCTCCAGCCTTCAACTTGCCTTAACACTGCTCCTTTGGCGGTTTAGAAGATGGGGACGCTAACAGGATTATCTTTCCTGCAGAAAGCCGAGCTTGTACGTCGGGCTTTAGAAACGGAAAGTCTGCGGCCAAATTAGGACGAATGTATGTGCTGAAGTGCTCACCTCCGGAAGTGTCGAAGCGGTAGGTTGCGCGCAAGCCCTTGCCCTCAATGGAGCTGTCACTGCGGAAGTGGATGGTCAGCTCGTTGCCGTGTGACATCAGCTCGGTCGGGGTCGATGAGCTGGCGCAGATCTCCGAGATGACCGGCGACGTCAAGTCAGGACCGCCGTGCACCTGAGCCCGAAAGACACAGGGGCACAAGATGACGTCAGTGGCTACGTTATACGATACTCTTTATACGATCTCAGAGTGAGATACTCCAGTATCTCACTCTGAGATCACCCTCGAATATCTGGGACATCGGTCACTTGCGCCCTCTGTCGGCGGTGCTCAAAAAAATATCGCAAAAAAAAAATTATTTCAACCATAGATCAACATAATTGCCAATATTCCCCGGAAAAAAAATAATACAATATTAAATATTATTATTCAAACTTGGGAACTCACACTTCTTTATTCCTTTACCCAACATGTGGCCTTGATGGCATACCGAATTTTATAGTTAAGGGGTGTGTCGACATATTGGTTCCCATTCTACACCACATATTTTCTATGTCGCTGAAGCACTCTATCTTTCCGACCGCCTAGAAAAATGGCTTGGTAATCCCTCTTCCTAAATCAGGCACCTCAACGAATATCACAAACTATAGACCGATATCATTGCTTTCCGCATTTTCGAAGGTATTCGAAAAAATCATTCATAAGCATCTAACACACTGTTTTAAGCACTTAATACCTGAAATTCAACATGGCTTTTTGAGCGACAGGTCTGTTGAAACAAATCTTGCGTGTTTTTTAAATGATGTTGCCCCCAGAGTCTGTTCTCGAGAGCAAGTTGACGCAGTGTATTTTGATTGTAGCAAGGCATTTGATCGTGTAAACCACAAGTTACTGTTACACAAACTTTCTGTTTCTGGTCCTAGCGACGAGTACTGTTCTTGGTTTGAAAGTTATCTTTCTGCAACAGAAAACTGTGTCGGCTACGCAAATGTTAGGTCTTGTTTTTTTCCTGTGCCATCTGGTGTACTTAAGGGTTCCTATCTGGGACCTCTTCTTTTTAATATATTTGTCAAAGATCTCCAAGACATCATTCGCCATTCGAGCCTCTTGCAGTTCGCTGATGACCTCAAGATCTATAAAAATATTTCGTCATTAAATGATTGTGCTCTACTGCAGGAAGATATCAACGCCATCTGTCTATGGTGTAAAGATAACGGGCTTGATCATAACATTGGAAAAAACAAATGTAATATCTTTCACGCGTAAGACTAATCCAACTGACTTTCTGTACTACTTAGAAAATTCGTCGATTACTCGAGTTACTATTGTGAAAGATCTGGAAGTGATGCTAGACTCCAAACTCAACTTTAACTCGCACGCGACATACGTTGTGAGCTCTTGTTTTCGTCTTCTCGGCGCAATTTCAAGATTTAGTAAGTGTTTTTCAAGTGTTTGCCTTTTCTACGTACTTTACCGAAACATAGTTCTTCCAAAGCATGACTTCTGCACTGTGATTTGGAACGGCCTTAGTGCTACAGCTTCCAATATTGTGGAACGCGTACAGAAAAGATTTACCAAAACTTATCATTTTAGATCCCCATCACACGATCTATATGATTACAACGAAGTGCTTAGACAATTGCAAATCACTAACCTTGCATCAAGACGATGCTCGCGCGATATTTTATTCTTGTTTAAATGCATACATTCTAATCACGATATTAGCTCTCTGGTCACATCTATTAACTATCATATACCCGGTAGAAATGTTCGTTCTAGTCGCACTTTCCATGTCAATTACAGCGATTTCAAGTCACCCTCGGGCCGACTGCAAAACTACTTCAATCATCTGGAATCAGATGGCATTGACATTTTCAACCCTAACCAACCTCATTTTAGGAAGTGCGTGCTTCATGTATTGAAATAATGTTCATGCTTTGCAACTATTCAATTCCTGTGTTTTTCCTTTAGAGGTGTGTGAGGCGACCATATTTTTCTTGTTTGCGTTTATATGCTATCTGAAATGTTACTAACAAGTGCACCAATGTATAGGCTTTGGCCGTTTTGGGGCACTCAAAATAAGCAAACAAAACAAAAACAAAAACAAATAATCTTCTGAATTGGTTCTTCAGAACCACCTTTAGAAAATCTTGAATTTGCTCTTGAGATAAACTGTAAGGTGCCTGAGCTGATTGTTATTTTCGTCCGGAACGAAGTTGCTCGCTGTATCGAAGCAGGGCCCTGATGTCATGCAGCGGAGGAAGGGGGCATGGTGGCCGACTGGGCTAGCGCACACCTGCTCGGAGCACTTGGAGCGAAAGCTCCCGTTGCAAAACCCAGGGATTAATGATTCAATCTCCGCCTCTGCCCCCCGTTTCGATCTGAAGGAGCACTCGTACAGGCGTGCGATCGTGTATTACTATTGCGTGGTGCAGGTTAAAGAACCCAGTCTGGCGGTTGTACTGCACCGGCTAAACCGCTCATATACTGCTGAGAGACAAGTCGCCCATTGAAGCAGACTCATAGAGTTATTACAATGTACGCTAGAGGTTCAAGTGGCGCTAGTGTGCTGCTGCAAATTAAAGCAGACAGCAACCAGTCGGAAATTGACTTCCGGTAATGCATTTCTATGGGGAAAAGCGAGTGCATTTTCTTGCTGCGCTGGATTATAAGAGCAAATATCACGAATATTTCGTACGTACTGGCACATTGGAACATTTCTCAGTCACGCAAACATAATAAATGGTAAGTTACGGCGTTTCTATTTGAAATTCGTGTCATGAAAAATGGTGCTAAAACCGCTTCGTACATGCATTTATGTGCACTGTCGGACACTGTTAGCGCGAACACGGCATCGGCGCTTTCCACCATGGGGGATATACGTGTTAAACGAACGAAGGACATGTGGAAAACCAAGAGAGACGGCAATAACTACGCAGTAACACTGGATAAGTAACTCCTTGTGCATGCAGGCGATCAAAATAAATTGAAAGCTGCGTAATATAGTCCGATTTGCAATAAATGAGTACTGCTTTATTCTTTCTGCTCATGAATATGTGCAAAGATGCATGTTCTGGGTTCAAATCATCAACCGCACTCTCCAAATCTTTGCAAATAGGGAAGAGTCAGAGAACAGGCGCCCGATAAGAACTGCCCGACGTAGGAAATAATAAAAAGGCACACCTTTCGTAGTCCACGTACTTCATTTTTTACATTCGAATGTTTTTTAACCGATCGTAAAGATGCACGACGGAGTCATATTCATAGAGTGACAGGACGGGCATATTAGCAATATATAAGCGCCACCGCAATACTAGCGAACTTTGAACACGCTCTACATTCTCTTCGATCGTTAGTTTGTTTAGAATCGTCGCTCGTTTTTACATACCTGCCATGGAACATAGGTTTGGGCCTGAAAAATAGCGAAGCTTAACATCGTTCACTGGTAAAGAAAATGCTGTAAATAAAGCTATTACACTTTTACAAGATTAATAAATGTAAATACTGTCCGGTACAACCGAAATAATAAAAGTTATTCATGTTATTTTCCGGCGAAGAGACAAATTTCACGCACATTTTCCCATAGGAATGCACAGGAGCGCCACAAAAGTTGACTGGTTGCGGTCTGCTTCAATTTGCCTCCCGGAAGTCGCATAGACACTAGCGCCAGTTGAACCTCTAGCGTACATTATAATAACTCTTTCTGCAGACTAACTTCACGCTGTATAAGCATACACACATCCCAACTTTTTTGCAGCGGAGGAAACACTTGCGTCGAATCGACAATCCACGAATATTTATAAACTAACAGGGAGGTTGGGTCACTAGGAGTCGCCACATTTAATTGGAAAAGAACTGACGTCCTGGGGAACCTATCATGACAACGCAACTCTTTAACCAGCGAGTAATGAAAAAAGCCAATGTTACCGGAATCAACATGGGCTTTCACTGCCGGCGGCCTCGGATAGTCAAATATTATCTTTGCAGAATTTGCAAGCTCGGTTTCCACCGATATTTATAATGGGTGCCAGTGGGTTTTATTCTCTAAAAATCCACGCAAACGGATGTTTTTTCATGACCCTGACGACATCCGAAAACGGATGTCTTCAGGGCCAATAAAATATGACGCAACATTGGAAAGACGAAAATCAGTCCTTTTTCGGACAGATGGTCAGGCCGCAAGCATACATTTCGTCATATTAAAGCCGTCGCAGCCACTCCTTGCAAGGACTAGTATTCCCTGCACCCGGAACAACGTTGCTGGAGCGAGGAACGTACTGGTGCAATTGACTTCACAAGGTGCACAGCCCAGCTGAACTGGGAGGCAAAGTGAACTTAGCGCATCGCCAACTCTGCAGCAACTGCCGTTTTCAAAATGCGATTTTGAATATTTTTCTGTCGCTGAAGGTTCAGCCAAATAGAGGTATATAATTCGTTCGCCCTAAACACAGAACATAAAAAAAATATGTTAGTTTTTTTTTATGTGTGTTTTTTATTTGGAAATTTTATTTTTTCTACGCATTTTGCACTGTCACACTTTTCTTACAAAGTTATATTTCGGGCCGAGAAACACCTTTTCAAGAAGCAAATAGCGCGTGGCACGCCCCCTTTTTGAATGCGCTCCTTCGTTACCCAAAATAATTAAAAAAAAAAAACAACTAACACTTTATATAAAAGCATTTTCGGAATGAAAATTATCTTGCAATTATTCCAAAGTTTTTTTGTTCGTTTTTTAAACCAATACAATTCTAAGAGGTTGTGCACAGTGCTTCCACGTGTCTGCTTCCAAACACCTGTGTTTTTGAAAGACAAAATCGCATAAGTGGATGCTGTTGTTTCGTTTAAGGGTGGCAGCATCGCACGAACCAATATTTTGAAGTCCCGTAAATTTAAACCTAGTCGAACACCATCGAGGGGCTGAGGGTAGCCTACGTCACTCGAATATACTTGGCGGACCAAGTTACACGGCAAGTCACAAAAAGGCTCAGCAAGCAAGGCGCCAACCCGAAGAGCGAAGGCATGTCTCTAAGACTCTAACAATGGCTACTAAGCTGGCGGCTATTGAAGAAATGACTCTGAGGCTGTTGGCGCCAATAACAATTTGTTACTCACCTATCTTTTTTCTTTTAACTTAATTATCTCGAAACACTGTTTTCCAATATATAGGTACCATTATTTTCTTAATCCGCCAATATAGAGCGTCGCTTTTGTTCCTGCCACTTTCATAGGTGTTGAAAAGCACTGAACTAGAATGAAAAATATGAACCTAATAGATTTCCTGCTACACATTTTTTACTAAGTAAAAAAGCTAAAAGTTTAGTACTAAAAAAATGTATAGAAAATTCATTTTTCAGTTGGTTTTATCAATTCTAGTTCAGTGCGAAAAGCAAAATATTTCAAACAAAATATTATATACATATGACAAAAAGACTCACAATAATACAAAGAACTGCACCTCAACATCGCCTAAAATGCGTGGGTGAATAGTATTCAGTCTGTACTCTTAAGTTAATACTAGAAGCTCCGCCTTCAGCGCGAGCTCGCTGGCTTCCGCAGCCCATTGGTTGCGCGCGTCTGCGCGTTCAAAATTGTGTTGGCAAGGGAAGAAAGCTCGCGCTGAAGGTGGAGCTTCTAGTATCAGTTTAGAAGTGAACAGAGTATTGTCACTGACACTGCGCTGCATCATTTCTCGACGCAATGCAGTCAAACGGACCCAAACGCTCTTAAGCGCAACTTTCCGTAGGGGCTTTTACACTTTAAAAGACACTGCGTGCCGAGTACTGACCCGGACGTAATCGAAGGGGCATCCAGAGGCCGTCTCGATGTTCACGTCGACGAAGGCGAGGCGTACCCGCTGCCCTAGAGGCGCCTTGATGTGCCACAGGCACTCGGTGTTGCGCGGGTAGCCGTGCGGGTAGTTGGGCGTCTGCAGTGAGCCCCGGGGCTTGGTCAGCGTGCCGCCGCAGCCCTTCCAGGCGTACTCGATCCGGAAGCCCCGGAGCCGCTGGCTGCCGTCCGTCACGAAGTGCAGGTGCACCACGGGTTGCGAGGACACGATCGGTGGCGGAAGGGTGCTGGGCTCGCCGCAGAACCGCCCCAGATGCCGGGTCTGGCCGTCGGAGTCGGTCTCGTTCACCTGCGTGCGATTGGCCGCCCCTGAACCCTTTCTGCCCTCCTCCGCCGGGACTCGGTCCCTGAACCAGTCGTTGCAAAAAGTCGATTTCAACCAAACAACTGCAGACATCTTGATATTCACAAGTTATAGACGAGAATAGTACAATATGAATTAGTACAAATTATAACCTCAAGAAACAATTATATTAATTTCTAGGTCACTCTCCGTCGCCATCGCCAAGGTTCGGGGCCATTCATGTCTCAGCATGACTTCGTGAAAAAAAAAATCAGCCATACAGGAAAAATGTGTTATATTTATGCAAAAATAGGCATGAGACTAGTACGATATTAATTTATACTAATTAAAATCTTAGGAACCATATTGTTTTATTGCTGATCGACATTTTGTTTATATAGGGTGCTTCGACATTTTTTTAAAGAAAATTTCAATAAAACACGAAAAACAAACCAAAGCGGAGAGCAAGCCGTCTGCTTCTTGTGCATGAATTACCGTGACGTCAAAACAACAGCGAGCTCTGATTGGCTTTGATTGAAAGGATAGTGGGTAGACCTCAATGCTAGATTCCTTGAGGTCTCGCCACTCTTTTCTTTCAATCAGCCAACAATTAAGAGCTCGGCCTTCTGACATCATCGCAACCCCTGCAAGAAGCAGACGAACTTGCACTCCGCATAAGGATTGGGTAACATGACTTTGCTGGATTGCGAACCAGTTTGCCATACATTAGTCATCCTTGACTCCATCTTTCCTGCGAGTGGGCAGTTGCTACCTGGGCAAAGGATCTACCCATGTCTTTCTGGAAGAGCATTCAAACGCGTTCAGATAATGGCGCCCGTGACGATAATACCTCGTCTGCTACATGTTCCCCACTAAGAAAGCTAGAATCGCTGTTTTGCCAAAAGCACACGCTGAGACTACCTTGAAACCGGTAACAACTAAACGATGGACATTCTGAACTTGTAGGAACCGGATGGCCTCTAGAAGAGCCAGTTAATGCTCAAATATGAAGCGAATGAATCAACATATGTTGACAATCATTCTGGCAGGCCATGTTGTAGAAATAAATCTGAAAAGCCTTGCGCTGTAGCTGATCTTTATGTTGTCATCGATCGAACTTTTGGCAATTTGTTGTAAGAATCAATGGCAATGCGGTAGCGGCTTTGGTCAAATTTCGAGAAGTTTGTGCAGACGCAAAACCGCCGTGATTAAGATAAATTCCCCAACGTTACAAAAAAAACTTTAGTTTTGTTGTAGGAGGCTGATGCACCGTGCTGGATGCCCTAGTCAATCTCCAGCCACCAAACAAAATAAAGCGAGGTATTTTAACATTTTTTGGGCCCGTATGACCCTCAAGAAGCAGATTTAGCATAGGTTATCTGAACGTGTTTTATAATTACTGTGGGAGCATTTAATGAGATGCAACCCTTTGAAAACCCTGAAAGTTACCATTTTTGTTTGTGAAATGGCTGGCGTCTTGATTCGACAGCTTTCAGCAAGAGCGCCCTGTATCTTGCGGTCTCCTTGGCAATGTAACCTTTTTTGGTAAATGATTTCGCCCATTTTTTCTTGAGAAGCGCACGCACATTTTTAGGCTGAATATTGACAAAATACGCATTTTTGTATTTTATGATCAAATGCTTCAATCGATCAAAGGCTTCAAAGGCACGCCACGTCAAGCTTTATGATTCCCGAATTTCTTGTTGGGACATATTGGATGATGGCACTGTAAGTTTTTGGCTGAAGTGACGAGGAAGTCCTTGGTAGCTTCAAATATTGTCTAAGGCTAATTATGTGTGCAGGGGACAAGCGTATGTATCCACACAAATTATGAATCTTTCAGACACCAAAAATAATTACGTATTAATGATTTTAACTTGAAACATCTTCCACAAAATCTACAAATCCGATGGGACCACATTTTAAGCGGAAGTGCTTGGCCATCGCATATGTTGTGATGCCTGCTTATCCTTTTTGAGAAATGGCCGAGCGTTTCACGAATTTCACATCCTTATAAATTCGCCATTTGCGGTGTAAATTCAACAACTTAAGCAGAAATCGATTTGTCATCTCCACACTCTAAAAAAAGTTTGTGCGTCTACTTTCACGCACAACCCTTGGAGAGCCAATCACCGCAACTTACGGAGGCAGCTCAGCGAATGGCAATGCCGAAACATGTTTAGACCAAAAAACGTAGTCTGAGTTGTGACATTGAGCAATGCAAAGCGTCACGCTTGCATTGCTTAATGTCACAACTCAGACTGCGTTTTTTGGTCTAAGCATATATTTCGGCATTGTCATTCGCTGAGCTGCCTCCGTAAGTTGCGATGATTGGCTCCTCAAGTGTTGTGCGGGAAAGCAGACGCACAGGCTTTTTTTAGAGTGCAACTGCGTCTGGTTATTTAAGAACTTACGGACATTTATTAAAAGCATTGTTAAAGCAGTTTTACCAAATGAGATTTTTGTGTCACTGAGACATTAGTACCGAGCACTGGGTTCAACTGCGTTTACAAGACGCAAGGCGGCTGAGAAACCTCCCAATTCTGCGCCAGAGAGCAGCGCGACGACAATAAGACGCTCGGCAGTTTGCCGACGAGACAAACTGGATTCGAGTCTGAGTGCATAGGCGTCGCCGACATCACCGAGATATTTTGTATTGCTGCATCACACCAAGGCAGGCTCGGTGATACTGAAAAAGCCTTAGCTTTGCATATACCTATAAGAATATCCGGTGTAAAAGCAATGCTTTTTAATGGTAACCTCCAATCCCAAACTTTTGTACGTCCGTCCGTCCGTCTGTGGATCCTTCGTTTAAGTTAGCAGGGAAATTGACATCCCGAAACCTATAGACGAATTCAGTTTCTCAGCTAAATGTAGCGGGAAACTGAAGTGATGTTAATGCCACAGGATGTGTCAACTCAGTTCCCTTGGTAAATTTAGCGGGAACATTCACGTCTTGATGGCTAAACATCAATTCAGATTTCCCCCTACATTTAGCTGGAAATTGGCGTTACGTGAACTTTACATCTTTCGACTTCACGTAACCCAACGTCACTTGACGTATACAACCATTCAGTTTCCCCACCAAATTTAGCGGAAAATATACGTCACGTGACACACAAATTCGCTCCAAATCCCTGCAATGCATTCATGCATTATTGAACTTTCAAGTTAAAGGTCGCTCCCAAATTTTTTTTTCGTTTTGAAACTTAAAATTAAAATAAAAAAAATCTTAATTAAAAAACTGAAGTAGATGAGACTCACTATATTTAAATCGAAATTATTTGATTGAAATCAAAATAATTTAATTTAACTCACTATATCAATATATTAGTGTTTTTAATCGCTAGATACATTTTAAACAGGACAGATTGATTGATAAATACGTACGATCACAAAAAAATGCGGGAAAAAGTTACCGTAAATTTAAAGTCCAGTTCAATTAACAACATTTTATTAGATATAAACACTGCCATTGCAGTACAAAAGCAGCTTGATATTTTCAGGTTATTGGAAAAGCTTTATGAAGCTGTCTTTATATTTGGGTTTAGATTTGCTTGAAATAGGAGACTAATTTTATTGCGCTACTTTATTTCCAATTCTTATTTACTTGCAATTGCATGTTACGTAACTGACCAACTAAATTAGTGAAAGAAAGTTCAGCGTTCCGATTGTACAGAAGATCACTGTTTTGTGATCGTGTTCAATCTGATATAAACCTTTCTTGCTTCATGATTTCTTGATTTTCATGCAAAACAAATTCAGAAGAGAACATCAAATGAAAGACAAATGGTAAAAAATACCGTTGGATTATTTCTGACTGAAGAGGTTTGATTTCAATCATCATAGTAAAACCGGCCTGATTTAAATCAGGATTTAAATCATGATTTTATTCGTCTTGATGTTTGGTCCCCTTCCTGCTTGAAATAGAAAGGCTCACCAGAACAAGTGTTTTGGTGAAAAGGGGTCATTTAGGGCATTAACCCAAGGGGGTAACAGTAGGTTTCCGCCAATACTCCAATAAAATAAGTAATTAAAAAAAAAAAACTCGCAAATTTTATGTTTTCGCTAATAGTATCGCGTAGCGTACGTTTCGCAGTGCAACAATTACGAGCCCATGGTATTCGCGGTTCCGGCGTCGTACCAAGAGCTACACGATGAGGAGCAGACACCCGTTGCAGCGAAAATTGGAGAGATCAACGACCACACAATCGACGACCACAAGGCAATCATCTCGACTTAAGCAAAATATATCAGAGTAGAAAATTCACATTATAGACAAAATAAATGAAAAGCCTTCCCATCTGAAATAGCCAATGACTTGTTTTAAGATACTCAAAGAGAACAAATGGCCCAGATATGTTTCACATCTATCGAGAGCACATAAGCAGTAATGTTTTCATCTTTCATTATGACCATACTTTCATTTCATTCCATTAATTTTTCTCTCTGGGCACGAAGGCTTTCGTTCCTGTTCGTTCTGTTTTGTTTGTTGCTTGCTTTGTTCCTGTTTCTTTGTTTCCTTGAGTATATTCAAGGCGATAAATATGAAGTGTTTCCTTCCCCTGGTATCATGGTAAAATACAGCCTTTACACCCTCCGATGAAGTATTTTCCGCAAAAGGCCGCTAGGTGCTGTTCGAAGCTGTCAACTTATTCATATATTCAAAGGTCCAGTTTCAAGCATTGTCTTTTCGTATCAGGTTGTTAAGTGGTGAGAACACCTCGTGTGAACTTTTCGAAAACGTCAGTGTATTCATTACAGCGCCTGTAGCGTCGGAAATGCTCTGACATAAGGTGAAGCGAAGTGTGATTTATTTGGGTACTGTAATCGTAGTAAGCAGCCTTCACCCTTCGGGGTGCAGGCCTTACCTCGAGGTAGTCGTAGCTGCAGTTGGCCTCGTGCTCGATCTCCAGGGTGGAGAAGGCGAGCGAGATGTTGTGACCCGACAGCGCCTCGATGGTCCAGGTGCAGTTGGCGTTGCTCGGGTACGGCGCAGGGAAGTTGGGGCTCTCGATGACACCCCGCGGCTGGTGCCGGATGACGCTCGAGCACACTGCGGACCCCCGCGAGTCGCCATGGTTAGCGGACCCGGAGGCATAGAGTCATTTCCTCACGGTGTGAAACCATAGGGCGAATCCGGGGGCCCTGATTGACATTTTCTTCAAGCACATCACAAATGTGCACCCTCCGGCAACTAGAGACACGGCGCAGCGTCGGGTTCCTTTTGTGATCCACACGCTTCCCGTTGTTTACGTCGTAGAGAGAGGAGGCATAGGGGGAATGGATGCTGCTCGCGGCTTGGGAAAACAGCCGGCAGTGTTCTTTAATGCGTACACAGATTCTGTTTCGAAGACGGAAGACGCCTCGGATATATGCTTGCGTCATATCAACGCTTCTCGGTCTACTGTCACGAGCCGTCTTATCTCATACAACGACCGCGAAAGGGTCATGATAGCGCTCTGCTTGCGAAAAAGCGTGACTTTCAAATAGGTCGATCAGAGCCCTACCCTGGTTTTGCTTCGTTTTATGTCGTAATGAATTCCCAATACAGGGCCCGGAGGCCTCAGAAGTGTCCTTCCGGGAGTTTTGACTCAGTAGGACTTGACATCTCATTGGTAAGGCCGTTCAATATGAGGCGTCACATCTTTTGTGCCATGTTCTCAAGTTCAGTTCAGTTTCCTCGAGGCTGTAGCCCAGCCATGCTCTGCTTCGGCTTGCGTCTATTTCGCTTACGCCCGCACATGATCTTTGACATCCCTGAGAATGCTACACCTGTCTTGACAACGTAGCACTAAAACATTCCGTGTGTATGCAAGGCTTGAACGTGACATCCTTGCACCGTGCTAATAATGACTCCTAGTACTTCTCTAAAAAACGACGTTGATAGTGTGAAATGTGTACCGCAGAAGGTACTTTCTTAGCACCAAGGCCATCATAAAGGCCGCTGATGTGACGTCAGTGCAAGCCATGTATGCGGAACGCAAGTTCGTCTGCTTCTTTTGCGGTGGTTGTGACGTCAGAACGCCCAGCTCTGATTGGCTCTGACTGAAGAATAGTGGTTCGACCTCAAAGTAAGCTGCCTTGAGGTCTACCCATTATCCTTCCGTCAGGGCCAATCAGAGCTCGGCGTCCTGACGTCACCAGAAACCCCGCAAATTTAGCAGACGAACTTATGCTCCACATAGGTAGCTACCTACTCTGCCCGTTGGTAAGCCCACCCGTGGCAAAGCGAAGACAGAGAGGCGATCAATGACAAACACTTTCTTAAAAATTAAAGGAATACCGAGGTCTCTAGTTTCCACTTTAGTGGTTCTTGCGGTCTTTTAAAGTGATACTTGGCGTATAAAGAAAGCAAAACACAAAAAATTCCAACTATAAAACACTGCAATTTGCTCGTCATAAAAATCAAGTGAGAAAGCCCCATTTTGGTATAGATCTACATTTCCCAAAGGTTATTATTGTGGGTCAACCACGAGAAATCTTGTTAATTTTGCCCCGTGAGGGCATTCAGTCGGTCGTGTTCGGAGTACAAATTTCGCTCCATCACCGAATTAGTCATTTACCTTATGCAACAAAATAATTTATTAATCAAAAATGTTAAAACTTGTTTTCCATCCATCACTCCAGCTTCCATAGTCACCGGCAGTTGAGATCGGCTGACAAGTAGTTGCTGTGTTTCTTAGTGAGGGGAGGGCACAATCTTTTCATTTAGAACTAGAATACCTTAGAGGCCAGGCGAAGTTTTTATTCGAGTCTGAGCAAGCAGGTTGAAAACAAATAAGTTGGGAAAAAAAAGTATGTAATAAAAATATGTAAATGAATTTAACGGTGACAAGCATGGAGCCAAGCGACATCTAGAAGGTCCTGATACGTTGGCCTTCGTTTATATATTTTTCTCCGCGTTGTTTTACGGTTGCCACAAGTTGGTGTAGATTTCTTTTTGTTGTTACGTTGATGCAATGTGAATTTTAGGACAAACCAGCTCCTAGCACCCCTGAAAAGTCACAGATATCTTATTGTTAATTTACACTGCACTGTACACCTTGACCTATAAAATTTGTCTTTCTCCCGCGACTTAAAAATTTCAAGAATGTCCGTGGTTAACCCAAGTTCAGGGTAAATTTAAAATATATCCCTGGTCTGTTTATTATGCGCCGCAAAGAACGTCTTCTTGTATTTGACAAACTCTTCAGGGACAATTGATAAAGTGCTTGTTCTCGCAGTTATTAAAAAGAAGTACAAGCTTACAATGGTTTTTCTGTGCAAGCTTGTCAAAAATAGATGAAATTACTTTGCTCGTGAGTGATGTGGAAAGTGACTAATTCCAACCAGAGCTCGGCGTTCTGACGTCCACGGTCTCTCTTGCCTCTACCTCCCCCTTAGTTGCTCGGTGCATGAAAAGAACAACACTGGGAGGCACTTTCTGTTGTGGGAATCTGTTTCGAAGCCATTCTTGCCAGACTAAGTGTCAGCGGTCTTCGCACTCGGTCGTGGGACTGCAACCTGAGAAAGTGGGGAAGCCTTACGAGCCGTGTACACGACGTGGAAGCCTCTTCCAGCCCCAGATGCGTCGCTTCGGAACCTCAAGAATATGGTGGAACCACTGGAAGTAAGATGGCCGGGCCTCTGTTGGAGGTTGCACAGCCGCGCTTTCCTTTCTCCTCTTGCCGAGTCGCCGTCAAACACCTGGGCACCAGAGGGACGAAAGTGCACACGTTTAGGAGCCTCAGTCGTCACTGGTTACCACGCAGTTCTTAAATATCACTGAAGTCGGATTAGAGTGGGCCCGTACATGTGTGTTATTCTCAAAGCAATAATGAGCAGGTGACTGCAGGGCGTGAGCCGCTGCAGGATATCATCGGTCCTCTGTTGTAGGGTCAGCCTGGTCCTCTTAACATCACATGCTCGTAGCAGATACGTATAAATGGGCCTCAGTTTTTCGCCCCCACAATAAAGTCCCAGCTCTCGTTGCCGCACGTTTTTTTTACATTTCATAGGTAGGCAGTGACAATATTTGTTGAACTGAGGAGGTGGCATTAAAAGATACGGGTGTAAAGTGGAGCGCCGTACCCTGCTCCACGCCTTACTCCTAGTATTATTTTATAGGACTTCAGAAGGCGTAGTTAACAGTATATCTCTCGGACAGGCCGGTAACAGATAATCAAAATGCATGTGCACTGCGCGTCACTCTTAGCTCAAACACGATTTCGAGGCTTTCTTGTACTTTGCTTAGAAAGTTTTTTCACGGCCACCCCATTTTACCACTTTGAGTATTGTCCTGAATGAAGGCTTTCCGCAATGCTACTGATCGTTATGGCAACGTTCTATTTTAACAGATAAGCTAGAAAAACTGGCGGTCGCTCGTTTGCGCTAACAGTGTCGCGCTGTGTACTTATTTCATGCTTGATATTAGTACCAATCTTGATTAAAATAACCCACGAACAAAGACAGGAATGGCGGTGGACATCGGGTTTTCGTAGGTTTTTAAATGCATATGTTGAATTCCAAACTAACAAGAACCTAAGAAGGTGCCACTAAAAGTCGTGAGTCGAGCTGTGGGTGTCACCTTACTTAAAGATCAAGCAAGCAATTAAGTTCCATCGCAAGACCGCCATCGTTGGACCTCGACATGGCCAACTTGCCTCGAGCGCGTCATAGCCGCAGTCCGGCTGCTCTTCGATGTCCATGTCAACAACGGTGAGGGCGATCCTGGAGCCCTGACTGACTCGGATCAGCCAACGGCACTCAGCGTTGTGGCCGTAGGGACGAGGGTAGTTGGGAGACATCAGGCTACCAGAAGACCCGGTGAGGACACCGCCGCATCCTGCGCACCAGCCTCGCGTGAGACGGGGCGGTGCCCGTTTTAAGGGTGCTTCGAACTCACCTGTGAGCGCACTGTCGTAGAACACTTGGAACCCTTGGCCGAACATGGAAGAGTCACTGACGAAGCGCAGGCGCAGGCTGTTGCTGTCCGACACGAATCCCACCGGGGCCTCACGACCGCAGAAGGTTCCCGCCAAAGGAGAAGTCTCCTGGGCGCCGTTCCTGACACAGGCACCAAGCTTTCAAACACAAATTTCTGCCGGATCCCCGGCTTACATTGCATTACCATGCATGAACGTGGTCAAGGACTAGGACACAAACAAACACAAGCACACAAACTACAAGCGGAAGGTTATCGCGCAACCACTGCGGTTGATTAATTTAGCAGATGATGGTACACACAAAGAAAGTTTAGAAAGTTTTAGAGAGCTGTAAAGTTGCACTTCAGACAATGCTGCATTGGCCATATCGGCTCGGGTTGTAAGCAGCGCTTGGATCTAAGGTGAATCGAAGTATAGCGTCAAGTGCAACATTCTTTGCTCCTTCTGACGTAAAGATGCGTTAAAAAAAACAGTTCAGCAAGGAGGAAATGGGAATGGTGACGAGAACAATGTTCCTACCCTGCGGAAAGTTATTTTGTAGGTCGGCGGTTACTCTTCCTTTCAGGACAGCAAATATATGCTTGATGAATCACGTCTCTACTGTGAAAGGGTTTAGTGCTGACCGTATCTCCAGACGGTGCTGTGCAGAGTAGTGTAAGCCTAAGTTGAAATCGTTTTGAAATTGCGATTGCTAGCTTTGGCCGATGCTTTAATTGGGATAATGAATATTTTTAACGCAGTCTGCTTGCCCTGCTTCATTCGACAAACATTCTTAACATTTTAAATAAATTTTGGATGTTCGGCGGACATGAATTTACAACTTCAAATATTAAAATAATAGCCTATCCGGCGTGAAACAATTCGAGCACAACAGTGGTCTTGTATCACGAATAAGTAAGTGGACGAATTCGTATAAAAAAGCACGTTACAGGTCGGACACTCGACCATCAAATATCTGTTGCCTTGATGTCAGCAGAAACTTTGCTCAGCCATTATCATCAACAGGTCACGCGCGGAGGAGCGGTAGTCTTCCACTGGTAAAGCGGAGGATAAAAAGCTCCGCGCCGAATGACGAGTTTGTTTCGGATTTCGGTAATTGCCTCAAAACAACCAGTACAGCAGTCCTCCGCCGCAGCCGATCGATATCCAGCTCATAGCCCCACCGCACAGTCCCCGCCCCCCTGAACTGCCGCAGATGCCGAACTGTCGATGAGACGAATGTTCAAGGAACGGTTGCTACGAGAGTTTTAATGAAGGTGGTTTGGCTACCTGAAGAGTATTATGATCTTACGCCGCCAATTACTGTTCACGCAACAGGAATAATTAAACGTAGTGAAAATTTTAAACTTTCGTCCTCAGCAGGTCCCCACTATATCAATGCAAACATTCTTAAAATCACAGCTGCTATTTCCAGCAAACTTAATAATATAATCTTCTACCATGGCACTCTCCGAAAGCTGTCTACCTTGTGACTGGAAGATCGATGGAGTTGCCCCCCCGATTCACACACATGAAATTCGGTTTTCAGCCTCTAACTCTCACCTTACCTCATGCACCTCTTTATAGTCTAAACTTCTAGAGCATATCTTGTATTCGCACATCATGACTCACCTGTCTACAAACAATTTTCTCTTCAGACATCAGCATCGCTTCCGCAAGTGTTTATCTTGCGAGACCCAGCTGAACGAATTTGTACACGAGTTACATACTTGAATGTCATGCACAAACTAAAGCCGTATTTCTGGACTTCTCAAAAGCTTTCGACCCTGTTCCTCATCAGCGTCTTCTCTGCAAGCTATCGTCTCTACCCTTAGTACCTTCCTGAACTTCTCATTTTCTCGCGTATCGCTTTAAATACACAGTCCCTAACAATCACAAATTAGAGACTAACAAGCGTTATGTCAGGAGTTCCTCAGTTTTTCTTAATCGTCATTAACGATCTTCCGTGTAAAGTTTCCTTTAAAATACATCTTTTTGCACATGGTTGTGTCATATATAACAAGATTTCACCAGTTAACTACACGTAACAACTCCGGAATAATATAGAGTAGCGTTCTGCAAGGCATAGGCAGTTTCATCTGGCCCCCTGCACTACACCAGAAAAGCCCCCCCCCCCCCCCTTGCAGCTTCCTTACACAGAACATAGACTCAAGGACCACGTGAGAGTGTTGACATCATGATGACTTAAACAGGAAGAATAAGCACTTTCATTTGGCAGAGTACAGCAACCCAATACATGGACAGAAAACGTCATTCATTTCCATTTGCCCTGTCTTCGCCTGCCACCCCCCCTCCCCTCCCTCGCGACTACTTGCCGTCCGGCCCCCTCCGTGTCATCTTCGTGACGACTCGGCCCGCCGTTGCAAATGTTTACCAGCACTTGACCTAAAGAAAAATAGCCACTGGTGCGGAAAATGTCTAACTTCACTAAAGTAACCAAGTGCAAATTGATTTTATTCACCAGAAAAGAGTCCCTTGATAGCCATATCAGTTTACTTACTAAAACAACAAAGTGAATTAACCCGTTTCCATGTACAAATATCTGGGCATCAGATTAACTTCTAAGCTTTCTCAGAAACGCCATATTCAAACAATTTCTGGCATCCGAGACTCTCGGACTCATCAGGCGAACCCTGCGAGATGTCCCTCCACATGTTCGAAATAATGGCTTATGAAGCTTGCATTATACCTAAACTGGAGAATGCTGCAGCTATTTGGAACCCCCATCAATCATACCTAGGGTTCCGCGTTTCGGTTTCTATTTTTTCAAAATACGGCGTACTTTTTTCGGTGTTTATTTTAAAATTATATTTTCGGTTTTTTTCAGCTTATATTTATGCCCACAAAATTTTATCGGCTTTTTTCGGTGAATATAAAATAATCACCAACGGACACCGGGTCAGACGATCCTTGTAACTCTAATATTTGTGATTCCTCAAAGATTAACGGCACAGATACATTGAAAAAGAAATGGACACTGTATTTGGCAAATGCCTGCGACTGTAAAAGAAACAAGAAAAAAACACAGAAGCACGGAAAAGTCAGGTATGAAGCTTATGCCCAAAAAAACATGTAACTTCACCTTCCGTACATCACGATTACGCGATCTTATTATAGTACGCACACATGTACTTTCCCTGGTTCTCATCGTTGATCCGAACTCCTTCTTTCCTGTTAACATGACCCTGAGCTTCGAGAATGCCCTCTCAACGCTAATACTGGACACTGGCAGGCTGAGGAGATTAAGCGCTGCCTGAGCCGAAATCGGCAAATCAACCAATTTTGACCGCCGAAAAGAGACACGGTGCGACGTTTTGAAGCACAACACAACAAGCAGAGCTTGCACCATGTCAATCTTCCTTACAACGAGTTTTAAAACAAGCCCGTACATGGCGAAGTCATGCGGTATTTCGGAATTCACGTTCCGATCAATGATGCGCACATTAAACCAAAACGTCGTGATGGCATCCGTGTATCCCATTCATTCGGACACGTTATAAATTTCGATAGACACTGTCGTTTCCCTTTTTCGCCACGGCTCTGCGGTACGACTGGAAGGTCAAAGTGACCTTTTCCGGTTCAAATTGAATTTTAAAATATGGAATCGATGTACTTTTATCGGTTTTTGTCGGTTGAAATAGAAAATGCCGAACCTAAAAACTGACCTTTTTTGGTTAAAACCGAATTTCCGAACATGGATTTGGCGTACTTTTATCGGTTTTTATCGGTTTAAACCGAAAACTCCGAACCCTAATTTTCATACCTTGTCTACACATTAGAAGCAGTGCAAAACCAAGTCACACTTTCAACTTTCTTTCAACTTTACTCTTTCTCTCCAGCGGAGAGGGGGAGGAAGAAAACAAAGCAGTCTGTTGTCGCTTAACAGAGTTTCTCCTCCCCACAAGCAACGAGAGAAAACTATTTTACATACTAGTGACCCGTGGAACAAGGTTTACATAGGATCAAGACACACAACATTTAACAAAAAACAAAAACAAAAACAAATTTGACGTACATTACGAACATTTTTTGCAGGTCGGAAGTCACATCGAGAATAGGCACAAATAACACTAGAGAAACAATGAACGAATATCCTTTCTGCTCAAACTCGTCAAGTCCGAGCCGAGTCTATGTGTACTATTTATAACATTAGGCAACGAGTGCTGCAACATCTGGAGGCCGTAGCCTGTTCTCTAGCGATGCGTTGACCATCCGTCAACACAACGGCCTGCATATGCAGGCACTCTACGCTTCATATTGGCGATTCATAGAAAAACAGGTTGATTTTGCCTTACAGACGTTTGATATGTTAGAAGAAGTTTATAATGATAATGCTTTGTAATTGGAACGATATGAAGGTTTTTTAAAGTTGTAATGTCTGAGCGTTGAACTCCGCATTGCACATAATTCGAATTATTCTCTTCTGGAGAACATGCGAGTGATGCATATTTGTAGCCGTTGTGCTACCCCAAACAAGGAAGCAGTAATTATAGCAAGAGTAAAAGAGGGAGTTATAAAGAAGAATTAAGACAGAAATGGTAATATATGACGGGATTTATAAATTATGCCCACAACTTTTGAAAGTCTGCCAGCTATGCATTGTACTTCGGCGTCCCAGCTCATGTACTGATTAAATATCCCACCAAGAACCCTCACAATTTGTACAAAGTCAATATTTCGTCCTTGGAGAGAGTGCCCTTGAGTAGATGAACACACTGTATTTTTGTATCAAAAAAGTATTGCTTTCGTATAATCTGTAGTAATTACCAAAGAGTTTGAGAATGTTCTGTCACTTATCTTCTGCAAAGCGCTATTTGCCGCATATAAAACCTGGTGGAGGATCAGTGTTGTACACGTTTCTCGAAAAAAGGGACGAAAGCTCGTTCCTCGTTCCTTCTGATTGTTGGAACGTGTTCCCGTTACAAGTTCCATATGGGAAAAAGGAACTCGCTCCCGTTACAGTTTAAAAAATGGAACGTATCGTTACATATACGTTACATCTGTATTTCGCTAATTACCATAATTAGTTAAATCAAGCAGGGTTTTTTTATCTATCCCATTAATAGTCAACATACGATTTTGAATCCTGTGATGGAAGGGCACCAGGAGAAGAAAACAAGC